CCACACATACAGCTGTGAGTACATCTCAGCCACATGGAGAGATCCCCACACATACAGCTGTGAGTACATCTCAGCCACATGGAGAGATCCCCACACATACAGCTGTGAGTACATCTCAGCCACATGGAGAGATCCCCACACATACAGCTGTGAGTACATCTCAGCCACATGGAGAGATCCCCACACATACAGCTGTGAGTACATCTCAGCCACATGGAGAGATCCCCACACATACAGCTGTGAGTACATCTCAGCCACATGGAGAGATCCCCACACATACAGCTGTGAGTACATCTCAGCCACATGGAGAGATCCCCACACATACAGCTGTCAGTACATCTCAGTCACATGGAGAGATCTCCACACATACAGCTGTGAGTACATCTCAGCCGCATGGAGAGATCCCCACACATACAGCTGTCAGTACATCTCACCCACATGGAGAGATCCACACACATACAGCTGTGAGTACATCTCAGCCACATGGAGAGATCCCCACACATACAGCTGTGAGTACATCTCAGCCACATGGAGAGATCCCCACACATACAGCTGTCAGTACATCTCACCCACATGGAGAGATCCACACACATACAGCTGTGAGTACATCTCAGCCGCATGGAGAGATCCCCACACATACAGCTGTGAGTACATCTCACCCACATGGAGAGATCCACACACATACAGCTGTGAGTACATCTCAGCCCCAACCTGTCAGTGTTATTGGTGGTATACCTGATGTACCTGAGTGGCACTTACATGTAGACATCATGCCTTCCAGCACAGATGACAAGGCGTGGTTCAATCTGTGGTTTGTTGCTTGGCCCGCTACATGGTGTTGCTATGGAAAACCCTGAATCCAGGCCATTAGGAAAATTACATGCATTGAAAGCTTTATGTTTCATGTGCAAATATTTGGTTAAGATGTTATATACTGAAGCTGGAGTTTGAAAGATTATGAAAGTTAAAAACATGTCTTTATGACTGAGGGTGACAGATATTGATGGCTGTTATTGACAGTGTGTCTCCTCCCCTAACTGTATCAATACACAAGTTGAGATATTGATACAAATATAATCACTTTGAAAATGGTTGCCAAATTGGGGGCAACTTCAATTCAAGCATCATGTATTTCTCAACAGTCTTCCAAATATAGTGTCTTTGTAATGTGAGAATGCTTATTGCCTTTGCTGCATCAACAAGTTTGCAGTTGTTTCTGGCGACTCTATAACATGGCTAAGACATATGATAAACATGGACAGTAATATATGACAATGTTTGATATCTCAAACGTCTTATTCACCAGCCTAATCCTTATTGCCTTGCTATCTATGCATCATATTCAATCAATATATCAACTTACTATGCATTTTTATATTTTATTAATTCAGTTAATGAGAGCCCATAAATTTTGTTTTCATTACTATTTCTATAGTCAAACAAAACAGCTACACAAGACATTCTATATACTCTCAGGATCACATATGAACATGTATTCATTCTAACTTAAATACGATTGAAGCATGGAAAGAGACAGCGTCTGATCAAGACATTTTCCCTCCATGGTCTGAAGTAAGAAAGACTGTACTGTCAGAACAAGTGACGGCAATACTGTACATAGCTGAGATGTACTTACTGCTGCATATGGGGGGATCTCTCCATGTAGCTGAGAAGTACTCCTTCAATCTTCCTTCAGAAACAAAATCAGATTTCTAAAAACTCTAAAAAATAAATATCTTGAATAAACTGAAATAAAATTTGTGTCAACAAATGCAGCTCAAAGCAAATCTGAAAACATGGCTCCTAGTTTTTATCTCATAATGTTGTGAGTATTGTAGACTACTTGCACACAACTGCATATATACATTCACATGCACACAGTGTGCATGTCCTCAAATGCATTAGTGTTTGCTTCAACAAGATATTGATATTTCTTTAAGAAGATTGTCTCAGCATCTGTGTCAGCATGACCCAATGACTAATCCTGATAAAAATAATGTAACAATAATTTTTTGTTGCTCAGCACCAACAACTTGAAGCATGCAATATTATCATTAATTGTCTCAGATCATCTAAGACCACTGAATGGGCCCAGCTGTAACAGGAAGACTTCAACTTTGTATTAAGTATCCATGTACATAAATGTGATACATTGTGCCTGTTCACCACCATTATATATTTTATTATGGGGCATACACCTGAACCAATTAAACATGATAGGTTTACAAGTTGCAGTGGAAGAAAACAGATAGTTGTGAGTTCTTGTTTCATGTCAGGTAAGAGAGTCTCATACAGTAAAAGCCGCTGATCTCAAGTCTGGTTCAGTAAAACCAATAAGCTTGTCTGCAATTATTCTAGATCCTATTCTGGTAAAACAGGTGTCTTATGCAGTGATTTGGATGACTATCTCAAGTTCAAGAGCTACAGTCTGAAAACCCTGTAATGCAAACTGAGCTGTTTGCTTCACCATGACTATGCTAGTCTCTGAAACCCAATCAGTTGAACACCCAGAGCTACCAAGGACTCAGCTAGTCTCTCCGACACCCTATCAGTTGAACACCAGGCACTATCAACGACTCAGCTAGTCTCTCAAACACCCTATCAGTTGAACACCCAGAGCTACCAAGGACTCAGCTAGTCTCTCCAACACCCTATCAGTTGAACACCCAGAGCTACCAAGGACTCTGCTAGTCTGTCTAGAAATTCAAATAGGCATCCCTGGACTGATAAAGACACCTTGACAGTTCTGGTCATACTGACTATAAATTCAGTCCTTTAAAATACACATAAACTGGATTGAGTGAAAGAGACAACAGATGAAGGCATGTAGATTAAATCTGAATTTGGCTGTTGCAACAAATATCAGTGTTTATGATATACAAGCTACAGCAAACTAGGAGAAGGAAGTGGACTATAAAATCCTCTTAAATACACACTGCAGTTTGGAGTGATTAAAGGGAGACAACACACCATTAATGCTGAAGGTCATATTCTGTTTTCGAATGTTCCAACAGTCTACTAAGAGGTGCCATCCATACATATTTCTGTTAGATCTACAAGAGATTAAACATGGCTCCATCTCCACAGAGTTGTTGCAAGGGGGCTGTAGAATAAGTCAGCATATTATGATAACAATTTGGGGTGGGGGGTGCAGATGGACATGTGGGTAGATGGAGAGGAGGGAGATAGACTTGTGGGTAGATGGGGAGGTTGATGGGTAGGTGGACATGTGGGTAGATGGAGAGGTGGCGTATATACTTGTGGGTAGATGGGGAGGTTGACGGGTAGATAGACATGAGGGCAGATGGAGAGGTTAATGGATGGATAGACCTGTGGGTAGATGGAGAGGTTGGGGTACATGAACTTCCAGGTAGATGAAGAGGTGGGTAGATGGACAGGTGGGTAGATAGATGTGGAGATGGGGAGGTGGGTAGATGGACATGTGGGTAGATAGGAAGGTGGGTGGGGAGATGGGGAGGTGGGTAGATGGGGAGGTGGGGGGATAGATTGACATAAGGGGGGATAGATTGACATAAGGGGGGATAGATAGACATGTGGGTAGAAGGGCATCTGTCAATGATTCACACAAAATTAGAATGACCCTTAAGTTCACCATTCATTCAGAGATCATCTAGCTCATACCTCACTTCAGGCATCTTTCCGAGGCAAGTGAGTTAACTGACTATAAAAGTCCAGTTTCCGCCCTTGCCGAACTAGGCTGGTATTATGGAGATACATTTTGGCTGGACTAACGAGTCTATGCATAGTCCAATCAAAATCGCGCACCGAAATCGAAAATCTGGTTCGTAAAGTGTCAACTGCAGGATTTGCAAAGCATGTGCACCGCTAACTCGTTGTCAATAGATATTTTCTAAATCTTTTCATGCTTTTAATCAAGGTGCTCACGTGATTTGATGCACTTCGCGATGTAAGACTCGTTTTATCACAATATAGATATTGATTATCGATCAGATCGTCTTGACTGGGCACCACTGTTTTGTTTGAAGCAAATGCAAGTGATACGAGAGGTTGAATCTGATTGGTCAATAGGAGAGGCATAGAAAGGACATAACTCGTAATAGCCACTGGTGGCGCTTCGATCGAGCCCACTAATTCCAGCCAAGTTCGGCAAGGGTGGAAACTGGACTTTTAAAGTCAGTTAACTCTCTTGCCTTGGGAAGATGCACTTCAGGTGGCTTGGTTGGGAATATAGTCCTCAACAATTCTTGTGTAATCACAAGTCATAATCAAAATGCCATGATGTCAGGCTTAAGATAATATACTGGCTTAAGACAAAACATAGACTGCAAGTTTTCACCTGAAACTGTAAGGATGTATTATGAGTGTGTTAACTTGCCTCAAGTTTACCCTTAACATTCTAGATATTTTTTTAACAGTTTGTTATTTATTTGTTATTGAATAACAATTTTCAAGACAACTTTGTTGTTGCATTTCTCACTTGCATGCATGTAAGCTGTAAAGTGTGAGTCCACCGAGGCTCCCCTGCCTGCTGTTGGTGTAATGAGGGTTACGGGGGCCAGATGTCTTCCCTCCCTACACATGAGGACTGTTATCACCTGGGGGGGCATCTCAAACAATCAACCACCCTTTAGGAAGGGAATCAATTGTGTTCATTCTGAGTATAATAATGATAATGACTGCTTGATCTATCAGCTAGCTACACATTGCAACACAGAACACATGTGTGTGTACATGTATAGTGTGTATTGTGAGGTAAATCATTTAGACATCAACCTCAATCAAGGTCCACGCAATACAAAAGGAACATCCAACTCACTTCTGAGGGTTAGTGAAACAGTTTATTATATACAAATTTGCTGAGTAATGATGGCAGTAGTCTCTTATCTGGTCATTACATTTGGGTTCCTGAGAGCTAATATTTTGCTCGGTCCATTTTTCTTTCATCACAATGAAACCTGTGCATAGAAACATAGTCCGAATAGTATAAGTATGCAATGAACTACTCTCTTAGACCACGGACCTATATAACCTGGATAGGAAACGATACAGAATTCCTGAAACTATCTCTGCCGCGCATCCGCGAATTGCAATCCGAGCCCCATGTTATCGGTATCCCGCAGGCGCGATGCCAACCACATGTGGACAGCTTATGGCGCATGCGTAGTAGGGCTTAACTTGACTTCCCCTGGTTACCAAAACATCCGGCTTACGAGCATGTGTGGCGATCGATAGCTGTCAAAACACATATGTCCCATGTGCATCAGATTTTTATCAATTAAACACGGAAACGGTAATTAAGATGATCGAGATATCAGACCATATATATACAATGCCTTGCAACATTATCGTCACTCCTAACCTAATACGGATACATATTCAAGCGTTCAGATTCTCTCGTACCAACTACAACATGTCCGATTTCGTCAACTGGGATGACTCCGATTTGGATTTGTCCGTACTTCTAGGCGAGTACACCGAGTATGAAGTGGATAGAAACTCGGATTCAACGTCCGATGACTGCCATTCAAAGGTGCAAAACACTGTCGAAAACCAGAGACCTGGCAAGACTTTTGCAGCTTTGTACAGATGTCCTTTGTGCAGCAAAGACTACGGTTCAATTTCTGGATTCCGTGGCCATGTGATCAAAGCACACGGAAGATCCGATTTACGAGGTAATGAAAATCACAAAACAGTTAAGTTTTCTGTTCAAACATATATTCATATTTTATTTACAAATATATTCTTACATAAATGTCACCGGGCACAATTTGGCTAATTACCATCATGGGTATATAGGCCTATATATGAATAATGGTAAAATATAGGCATATAATTATAAGAGGAAAGCAGATGTTATAATGTGTGGAATAAATAGATTCTTCAATTTACATATTGCAATTTTGTCCTCCAGACTAATATAATTTCAGAATTAAGTAACCCTATTTGTATTTGATCATGTGTGTATCTATCTTAATTTGTATACATTTAATCTAATCTTAACACATTGACCATGGATACATTAATTTGACTGCTGTAGAATAATAATTGAACTAACATTTTGGGATTCTTGTATCATGTGTATACACTTTCAATGTTTGCAATCATTACATATGAACAGAATACCTGTATCAGAGAAAACTCTAAACATTTAAAAAGCCTGAGTTAGTATGCTTTTTCAATTACTTTTTATTTATTCATCGTGATGTGTTAATGCTTAGTTTTATATCATTGGATTCAATCTCAAAATACAATTGTAAAATAACTATGAATTTAAAAAATATGAAAATCCTTATTTTGAACAGAATAACGATTATCTTCCACAATTTGACTGCCACAGGCACTTCGTAAACATACTGGATAAATGCCTTGATACATGTTTACATTTACATTTGAACACCATACATTCAACCTTAAACTAATATACTTGGTGAAAGGTTCTTTTGATTGCATATCATAAGGGATATTATTACTAATTCCAGCTCCTGACTACAAGCTTACCAGCGAGACCCAGCAGACCATACCGACCACACCACCTACGTCAAGTGCCTCAACAACTCCGCTGACAAGTTCCTCAAATCCAGCTTTCTTCAGCACTGAGCAATTGCAAGGATGTATGCTGGAGTCTGTCCGCAATTCTTTGAACGCAATAGCTCAGAACGAAATTCACAAGTCGGATCTGGCATGTGAGGGGAAAATGTGTGACATTGCTAGCTTACTTTCCGGTTCAGAGTCATGCCTAGCTCAAATAACTGACCACCTGACTCCTACATTTGTATTGTTATTTTCTGGATTTGGAAAAGGCAGCTCCTTTGTGGCGAGCAGAGAGCAGATGTGGGCACAGTTCCACCGAGCAAGAACTGACACCAAATTCTGTGACACACTGCATGAGGTAATAAAATTACACACACAAGAGAGTGACTGGAATGTACACATGTTAAGTCAGTGCTTGTTAGATGAACTGGTTGATGCTGTCTGTACAAAGTTTATATCAAGTATTCAGAGTGATGCAGAAACCGAAGCTAAAGATCTGACCTCGGCGGAAAATGAAATTCTATTTTATATCTGTGGATTTTTAATTAGGGCCATTACAAAGCAATCAGGAATAGAGTCAAAAGTAGCCAAAACCCTGAGGCATTTATGCATTACTTCACAGGATACTTCATCTGCATTTATGACAAAATTTCGCGTTTGGACTGAGACTGTCAACAGAGGAGGACTTAAAGTTAGTGGGGACAATTTTTTCTTTCTTGTGAGAAAAATGGAGATAATTTGTCGGCAGCAAGTCAACACATCAAACTTAAATGCAAATTCACTGTGTGTTGACCGCCTTAAGGACAGCATTCTTAAAGACACAACAGTCCTGTTTTACTGGGACAAGCTCGTCACAAGTAGTGAAGAAGAAAAGCTCTCCGTTTTGGAAAGTATTGCGGACTTGTTCCTGAAACTGCGAGGAAGAGCTGTTGTCAAGCACATTCGCAGGCAAACACAAAAAAGAAATGCTAGCACACCTAAACGTGCAAAAACAGGGAAAAAGTCAAATTCACTTAGAAAACGCCTGAGGGAACATTAACTGTTTAATATGTTTGGATTTTGTGCCAGTTGATTTGTTCGTACATGTAATATAAAAATTGTTCTAATATCAGTGAATAACATAACTGTACATATTTTAATGCTTAATTAGCTGTACATTTTATCTCATTATTTTGTCAATGTGGGTGCTTTTTTCAAACTGCAAGAAATAATCTTGAAGAAAATACATACAAATGATCTTATTTTGACTTTTTCATTTTGTTAGTCTCAAAACACAAGACTTGTTTGTTTGTTGTTTAAAGCCGTGCTCAGCAATATTTTGGCTAAATGAAGGTAGTAAAAGAACAATCAAGTCAGCATTAGACAATCCAGTGATAGACATCATGAGCATCAATTTTATGACATGCATTAATGAAGTTCCCGAGTCTGACCAGCTGGTCTGCAGTCGCCACTAACAACAAGCATGGTTTGCTGAAGATCAATTCTAGTTTCTAGCCTGGATCTTCACAGGCATCACTAAATAGTGAGTGAGTGACTGACTATGGTTTTTCGCCGCTTTTAGCAATAATCCAGCAATATCACAGCAGGGGGACACCAGAAATGGGATACACAATATGTACCTATGTCAGGAATCGAACCCGGTCTTTGGCGTGACGAGCAAACGCTTGAACCACTAGGCTACCCGACCGCCCCTCATCACTAAATAAACATCACAAATGTCAATGTTCAGTTTCTCCTATGTCTCTTAGTTAGTGGGGTGTGAACCACTCGAATGTCATTATGTCCTCTCTTGTTTGTAATGTTGCCTGTAATTGGTGCTAAGGCAGTTGAACCAATGACACGAAGTTGTGACATGGTATGTTTCACATCATACACAGTAGGATTGCTGTTGGCCCCTCCCTTTTGTCTATAATGAGAGAAATGTTCTTCAAGTGGATCCTGGTTGAATCTGTGAGTTAGTACAAAGTTTGCACCCTCATCTAGTAGGAACCTAACACATTCCACAATAGATTGAACCGTGATGCGTAATCCATGCAGTGTCTGCTTGCTCAACATCATTCTAGATCTCTGACTCTTCGTGAGAGGCCCTTGTCTGTTCAAAACAGCTCTTTCCCATGCATCGAAATAACCAAGAAATTCAGTTGTCAGATATGTAAGTCTCTCATCATTTCGATCCACATATTCTCGTAAATTAGTATTTCTTTTCCTGTCTGCCTCATTCAAGTTCCTTGTATTTAAACAATCAAAAAATTTGTTCATCTGTCTGATAAAATTCACAGTCTCACTCACAGAATCATCATACAAATGTTCAAGTGCATCCGCAACAGTTTTGCTCAATACCTGAGCTGCCAGATTCACCTTCATTTTAGCAAAAGGTGTGAGGTCAATATGCTCACGGGTTAATTTGTGAGCATGAGCATAAATTGATGGTTCCACATATTCTTCATACAGCCTAACAATGTGTGACCACCTGATGTCCTGTCCATCTTTCCACATGTCACGTGACTTGCTGTGGCTTCCAGAATTGGCAAAACAATTACGGGTGGTTTTGAGGAGGTGAGGGACATCTGAAATGAAGTAAAGCTTCCGTCTAGGATATGAGTAGGGGTTCCAGGTCCAGTACGTGTTTTGAAGTTCCTCACAGTGATGCAGATTGAAGAATTTTCTATTAGGAGATGCACCGTCACATGTTACAAACAGAATTTTTAATCTACATTCAATTTCCAAAAATCGGACAGCCTTCCATATAGCAGGATACAAAAGATCAGCAGTTATCCCACTTGTGGCAAAACAGGCAACTGGGTATTTCAGGGAAGAAGTAATCCCTCTAACCATTATTACAAGAATGGAAGATGCTAGTTTCTTCTTAGTGTTCGCAATTAAATTCTCCATATGCAACAAGTCATTGCCAGTTTTCTCAAGTTCAACATACCCAACAAGTTCACCAGTTACTCTGTCGTAAACTAACCCCTCAGACACTTTCACCTCATCTTGAAGAATTCCAACATAACTCATCCATTCTTCCTGAAACATTCCCAGCTGGGCTGCTTCATTCCTGAGATGTGACACAGAGGCATAGTTAAAGCCACATTCAGCAGGTAACCAGTGTGAATAGTCAAACAGTGTTCGACTGCTTGGTAGGGAGATAAATCCAGCATCTCTGGTGGCATCGTATGCTTTTTGGCTTTTGTTTCGGATATAAAGGCACCACTTAATGATCATTGGGTGCCATTTCATTTGCCTTCTGTCTGTCAAACTTACACATTTCAACTGCTGATCCCAGAAAAGCCTCTGTAGCGAGTTCTCATCGGGGAAGGCCTTTTCAACATCAACTGTATGTTTCTTCAGCAATCCCAAAAGTTCAACATTGTCAGTTTCATTAAGTTTCTGTCCTTTCACAGATATGCTCTTCCATATGCTGCGTCGAATCTTGTCAAGTTCAGTTTGCAGGTGCTGTGTTTTATCTTTCATCACCTTAATCTTAGATATCATCATGTCCTTTGACATATGTTTATGGGGTGTGGTTTTCTTCTCAGTAAATGATGATTCTTGCTGTTTTGAACGCGAAACTTTCTTTCGAAGTGTGTTTCTATACAAACAGCAATGGCTACACCTTTTTCTAACAGTCAACATGGAACACTTGGTTGATCGAATGGTAGAGTGGTACTCAATATCATCTCGCTTCGCACAGAAATCGGCTTCATGGTATGCAAGAACTTGGTTCGTCTTTGTGTGGGAAGTACCCCATTTTGGCATTGTACTGGTGAACTCTTCCTCATGATTTCCTACACAAACATCCCAAAGTTGGAGTCTATCAAAGAACTTCTGAAGGTCCCCAAATGACATCACAATTTTGGGAAGACCCGTCCATATATCATGTTCTCTGTCAATCACAATCTTGTGTACAAGCAGAGAGGGAACTAATGATGATGTTATGTTCATACACAATTTGACTGTTGGAGACTCTCCATGATAATGTTGGACAAGCTGGATGTTATCATCAGTTATCCTTGAAATTGTGAAGTCGGACAATGCATCAGTATGGCTCTTGATGTCATTCTTCAAAAGTTGAAATAACTGAAACCTTCTATCCCTCCATAGTTTCTCGACAAACTTGTCTAAGTCCACATGTGATTCATAGCAGAAAACTTTATGTAAAATGACATAGAACCTATTAGCGGAACTGCAGTCTGAATCAACTTCTTCTGGTTCTTCAGTGGAGGAAGTGCTGTTGTGAGTGCCTGAGCCATGTCCAAGGTAGAAGGCATCCCAGGCTTCACTCCATTTAGCTCCAAACTCATCTTGTGAACTGGAACAAGATATTTAGAATAATATATCATCTCAATTGGATTGGCACATAAAATTAATAAAAATTATTTAAATGTGACAAAAAAGTTATATCAATTGGCTTTACTCTAGGCTATTACAAGCAGCCACATAAAAACATCGCCATAAAAGTGCAATACCCTGGAATGTGGCATGAAACCCTATTTCACCTCACATACTTTACAACTAATGTAAATGATTAAATTTAACAACAATCAATAAAATGTCCTTAAATCAACTTGATATATTTTGCAAAAGGCATGTAATATACCTAGAAAATAACAAACCTTTCCACAATTACTTGATCATCTGTTCTATGATGGTTCACTTGAGCATGGCTGTGGTCTCTGTCCAATGAAGTTGTCACCTTTCTTTTATAGTGCTTCTTTTTCTGGCCAATACCTGGCATTTTCTTTCGGCGTGGCATCTGTTAATGGAATATAATGCACCTGTTTTATCATTCTTCATTAATTACAACAAGAATTACTCATGTGGACATGTAGCAATATTTATTGACAGTTGAAACCTATAATTATAATATAAAAACATACAGATCCTATTATTGCAGAAAAAGTCTTGGATATAATTATGTTACCAGTTAGTGAATTACACTTCAGAAATTAGGAACATGAAATATGGGTTGAAAATAGAATATGCTATGAATCATTATTTTTCTCCAACACCTACCCATGTGAAACATTATTTGAGATGAAATGTATGTTTCAAGTGTGAATTTATAGTAGATTTCCTTATATTTTAAGCTAAATTATAGCTATATTTGTAACATTAATTACAGACTATTTAACGAATGTTTCGTAATTACAAAACCGCATAGTTGCTTATTGGTATATAAGGTATTAGTTTGTAAATTTTTTGGGAAAAAATATCTATCAGAATAAAAGTTTTAGCACGCCCAAATTGTGCGTGTGTGTAAAAATTTCCGAGTTTTGTTGCATAAACATCGATTTTCATGGACTCGTAATTCGTTGTGAAATAACATTATCAAAGATGTTCTTACACATAACTGCTGTACAGATAGCATATGTTCAGCACACCCTTGTAACTAAGGACTTTATTGGATGATAACGAAGGAGATAGCGAAATAAAACAGCCAAATATCACGATTTCACTTGTCTGCCATTTTGGATGCAAGACGAAAACAATGGACCGGTGTGCACATTTCTAAAGACAGTTGAAACAAAAATGATTACTTTCAGAAGTCTTATTTCGTCCCTAATACCATTACACAATATATAAACAAAATATCCACTTACCTTTCAAGTCTGTATATAAGCGAAAAACACTGGAAATTAGGATGTTTTGAAGCGATACGCGGACAAAAGTTGAAGAGCTGGTCAGTGAATCTACCCATGAGCCTCTGCGATGACCCCCCGCAGAGGTGGAAAAACAATCGCCGGTAGCGCGGCGTAGATGACCTGAGGCTATCTGTTGCGTTTCCTATCCAGGTTATACAAGTCCGTGCTTAGACCAATGACGTACACACATCTGAGTACGTCTTTTCTTAGACTGAATCAGCTTGCAAGATTTTACACATCTCAAGCAGTATTGCAGCACTATCAATGCAGGGACATTGAGAATAATCTTCACAAATGGTTGTTGATGTGACAGTCCAACAGTTTAACCACATGGCACCCCTCAGTTAGGTAGGTGGAAGGTAGTTATCACGAGTCACACGTCTCCTGCATATGAAGCTGTGAGACAAAGAACACGCTCTATCTGCCATGTAAACAGTGCACCTCCGCCCATTCCCCTCCTGTTTATCAGTCAGTCCTGGGTATAACCCCACCTTGAGGTATGTGGTCTGAAACCTCCTCACACTAACTGGTAGTGGTATCATTACAGGCCAGGCACTTGACACTGTCGGAAGTTTGATCGGAAGAGAGACTGGTACATATACATCATTCTGGAATTTTTTTCTACTGCATTAGCAGGCCAGTATAAGATTGTCTTGTCATGGGTAGCTCCACCTATACCTCCAGCTATATAAGCATGAGAAAGAAGGACAAGATGACCCATGCCCATCTCTTATCATACTGTCATTCGTGTAAACACTGTTGCACATATTGAACTAGTTTGTAAAACTTGACTTAAGATTGGTTGGTTGGTTGGTTTGTTGTTTTACGCCGCACTCAGCAATATTCCAGCTATATGACGGCGGTCTGTAAATAATCGAGTCTGGACCAGACAATCCAGTGATTGATATCATGAGCATCGATCCACGCAATTGGGATCGATGACATGCTTCAACCAAGTCAGCGAGCCTGACCACCCGATCCCGTTAGTCGCCTTTTACGACAAGCATAGTAACCTTTTACGGCAAGCATGGGTTGCTGAAGACCTATTCTTCCCCTGAATCTTCACGGGTAGAAGTTTTTGCTTGTAGGTAAAAGATTAGTCCTGCAACATGACTGCGGAATATATGTATTTTATGGTACAAAACCAATCTAGATGTATATAAATGCCAGTCTAGCCAGCTCTATTCCACAGCATCAGGAAAATCAATTGTTTAAATTTTAGAGGGGAGAAATGTATTGTGTAATACAAGATTTCATAGACAATATGTTGGTCTAGTAAAAGCTGAACAGTTTTACTTTACAGTCCAAGCATATTTGGAAAAAACTTATCCTGTTTTTTTATCTGTTAACAAAACTATATTCAAGACAATTTGAATCAAAATATTTATGAGATAGATATCTTCTAAAAACCCTGTCTACACAACTGTACATCAAGAATAATGCTGATCCAGTCTTATTTTGCCCCAGTCAGCAGTATTCCAGGTACATCACAACAACCTGTACATGCCAATAATGGATCAGATAAACCAGTTGGTTTATGTCAATGAGCAATCAATGTCTCTGGGGGCATGATGACACAAGGTCAACCTAGTCACCATGTCTGACCACCAAATCCATGTAGTCATCTCTAATACAAGCTCAGGTTACTGGGGACCAAATCTACCCCAGATTGCCAAAAGGTCCAGTCTTATCTCAGATTTCCACTGTATATCATCTCTCAGCACAAACATGTGGACATGCTGACCTTGCAGACTCCAGTCCTCTGGACAAAAGTCTGGTGAGGAAAATATCTATCATAATTGTGTGGAGGTATTTACCTCGTTAGTAATGTGATTGATTGCGGGCACTGACAGGTGTCTGGGAGGTCGAGCACTACTCATCCTCTCAAGGAAGGAGGATACAATAATAGGCCCATTTTTATATTATCAGTCACCAGGTAAGCAGTGTATCGGTAACACAAGCAGTGGCAATAAGTTGCTCAGACAGTAGGTTAATCCTCCTCCTCCCAGACATGCTGGACAAAGATGGCTGGCCTGCAGACACCATGTCTGCTGTGTCTCTGTATCTTGTTTGAATGAATATTATTTGTTGACTATGTTTTCCTTGCATATGCCTGTCATGAATATTTCAAATTACATTTACTCGAAACTGCACTTAAAACTTGCAACTTGTCTATTTCACTGAGCAATAACACAATTGACATTCAAACCTGTTTTGCTGAGCCAAGACCAAATACCAAATCTCAGTCTGATGATGTTATTCACTAAAACACTCTGAGAAACATACTATCGACACTCAATGGGCATCAGAGGGTGATTGGCAGAGACATTAACATTGTGAAAGATATGGAATTTCACAAGGCTATTTATCTGTTGATTATCAGAAACAAAATATCAGAGTTGGTCTGTCCAAACCAATGAAGCACAAGCCAATCATTGATAAGGGAAATATCCTTAAAATCCTTAAAATCAGTGAATCAAGTTATACCTGTAGAGATCCAGGTTAGAATAGGTCTTCAGCAACCCATGATTGCTGTAAGAGGTGAAAATGCTTGGCGTAAGAGGACACTAACAAGATCGAGTGGTCAGGCTCGCTGACTTGGTTTGATGTGTGCCATTGAATGCCAATTGCATAAATCGATGCTTGTGACATCACTCACTGGTTTGTCTGCTCCAGACTTGACTATTTATAGACCTCAGTCATACAACTGGAATACTGCTGAGTGCTGCATTAAGCAACAAACAAGCAAACAAACAGCAGGAAGATGGATTTGACAGCCATTCATTACACAAGAGGCCCAGAGTTTCATTCTCAGTTGTCTGAAGTTTGATGACATCTGAAGTTGCTGATGAAGGCAGAGAATTTCAACACATGATATCGCAGGCCAAGCCAACAAAGGGGAATCAAATGTGGTGAAAGCCATGTTGCTAAAAAAATATGTATGTATGCGACAGCCACATGCAATTGGTCTGTAAAATCTTTAAAATTGCACATTTAGAAATCACACCCTGTTGCTGTCAGTCTGTCTTGTATTCCCAAATAAAATACTTATTGCTGATCCAAAGGAGCCCTCTTCTAAAACTCTTCCCCTAAGCCAGTTCACCAACATGATTCATACAATTTCCTAAGAATCTCGGTTCAACTGAATCTAAATACCCAAAGTGTCCGGGCTCCCACGACTCAAGTGTAGAAGGATGTCTCCATCACATGTACACAAGGCAAGTGTCAGCAGCTACACCACAAGTTATGACCAACAGTACAATGTCAGTATCATACTTCGGTACACTGGATTTGAGGAAACCATGTGACAGTTTCAAGGCCGCCATCAGAAGGCAATGATACATTGCATTCAGCTCTGCATTTTGCAATATTTCAAAACCTGTCCTCACTGACTGCCTCTTCATGGGGGAACCTTATGTCCAAAAGAATTGTTCACAACTGCCAATTCAACACCACCAAACTGTATCACAGTTTCCCCAATCTTTCTAAAAGGTTTGTGAACTGCATTTAATGAAGAGTTGCAATGTTCTATTTAATTATATTAAATCAATTTCAATATGGTGCCTGGATATGTATAGATGAAGTTGCAGGAGGTTGGCATCAACATGAAAAATGTTTATAGATTATTGCAATAAGAGGTATGTGTTCAAAAGAAAAATTCACCTTCACTTTGGAGTAAGAGGGGGGATGGCCAAACCAAAGGAAAGCTTGTGGTTGTCATTCGGATTCAAACTGCCGTATAGGGGGATAGATGATGTAATTTTATGTGGTCTTTGTCAAAAATAAGTATAAAACTTGATCATACATTACCAAATGTCAACAATTTTCAACAGAAATTTAGGACAAATATATATTTGTAAATATAATGATGGTCTGTCTTCAACATGTGAGGGAAAGCTCCAGAACAACAGTGAATCAAATTCAAAACCAGTAGATGATGGCAGCTAGGAAAGGAAACAACTGCAGTTAGCTGCAACACCTTAGCCCACTGGTTGGCCACGTGTACAAAACATTCTTAATTTAAATCTATCTTTGGCGCTTACATTTAACTTTAAAATCCCCATACCAAAGTCTTATTCAAATTGCAAACATTGATCTGTAAGGTGGCTTGGAATTTAAGATCATGATCTTAGCTAAGATCAAAATCTTCAATGGTGGAGGTATGAATATCTTAAACTTGAGTCTTGTCCAAGTAGTCCATAAAAAGACATGCACAACTTATTGCGCATACCAACAGTGGGACCTGTTAGCTGGAGAGTGGGAAGAATGCACAGAAGGGAAATAAGAATACTAAATAATATTTAGAGAAAAAAGTTGTTTAATATATATTCACTGGGTATTAATTATTTAACAATATTACATTGATGAATATGAAAATTACTTTTGCTATTTATAAGATATGCTGCATAAATTTCAAATGACTCATGTCTATTTCATTGTTTGATAAATAATTGTATTTAATTCAAATTCATATATCAAAACCGATCATCCCACTTGATTTTAGTTTAAGAATAAGAAACCTGTGTTATTTTCAACTTTGACGAGTATTCAAAATTGAAGATAAACTCAAGCCAAAATCATTGACATGAATGTGACTCAAACGAAATATAGGTGGAGCTCAACAATTTTCCAACATTACTAGAAATACATGTAATACATTTTGGGCAAGGTACTCCTTGCGGATATGCAAAGGGAAATAACTCCAAATTAATCTGAACTACAATCACCTGTCCTTGAGTGATCCAAAAGGTCATGGCCATGGGTCGCGATACGATACGTTTCGCGATACAGGGGTCGCGATACGATACGTATCACGATACAGTGTTTACTGGTACAAGCTAAGCCAAGTTGACGTCTTTCTGCTCTGCTGTTTTGTTCAGCTAGGCATTGTTTTATATTTAGGGATTAAGATTACCTTGTGTATTTTCTCGTAAACTAAGCCAGACACAGTAATCAGCTGTACACACGTTTTCTTGGAATCTACCGGTGATTCCGTCAAGACACACCCAATGATATAACTTTACAGGATTTTAATGCAAGGATCGGCAAAAGTTGTATCTGAAACTATTTTTTATCAGGAATAATATATTCCAATATCTTGTTAATTTAGATGCAGCTTTTACTAAACATATTTAAAATAATAATAACCCTAAGCAAAGCA